TTTTGCTTCTCCTAAAGTTCTTTATTTCTAGTATAGCTTGGGAAGGCCTAGGAACCTTGGTACATGATAATCCTGATGGAATGGAATTGCTGGTTGCCTCCCCCGCGCACATTCCCCCCATACCTGCCACCCACTGTGGGGGAACCACAGAATCTGAGTGGGAGCAAAGCTCTGGCCTTGGGTGGGCCCCGATAGGCCCGATCAGGGGAGTCCCAACCCCTTGTCACAGCGATGGTTTCAGAGATGGGCAGTAGCCCAGGTGTAAGGCAACGACTGTCTGACATCCTGTTGGCCGCCATGACTGGTTCAGGGATGAACCAAGCTGATCTGATCGGAGGAAATCCAAACTTTTGTGCAATGAGTGAGTCAAGAGAAGCTCTCTCTCCTCCTGGGCAATGTGGTGTAAAAATAGAGCCAGAGTTTTGATCAAGCCATGTCTGAAGCTCGAGTGACTTCTGGATGTTTCCACTAAAGAAGTCCATATACTTCCTTTGCTGGTGAAGCCAATTGGGTTGACTTTTCTATTTCTTGCAACCCAAAGCATCCTAGCCTAGAGACCAAATGATCTACTGGAATCCATTTTTCCATTTCTGGGGTAGATGTGAGGGGAAACAAACAAAATGTCTAAAAAATGAATATATTTTAGGGCCTTACTGTCCTGGAGTTCTACTCTGAGCTTGGTTTAAGCAGTTAGTTGCAAGGTTAGGAACAGGAGATGGGAAAGTATTGAAAAGTGAGCAAGAAGCCCAATGAAGGAGTAGAGAAAATAAAAACAGGAGTTTAAAAAGCAAAAGAGAGGGAGAAGGTCAATTCAAACATAACATAGAAGCCTCAGAGTTAGCGTCCTCTTCCGCATGCTGTGTTACCAAGCCCAGTGGATTCTGTCATCTACATAGCCCTGATCCCCAGGGCCTCCTCTTTATTTTCACAGCGATGCTCAGTTCAGACCTTCATGACCTCTCTCCTCATGCTCTCTGCCTTCACTCTCATGCCCTCCAAATTTATCTTCTACACCACCACCAGAGTGATCTTCTCAAAAGAGAGCTCTAAACTTGTCATTTTCCTATTGAAAAACTTTGGATGCCTCCCTCCTGTGGAACGTGGGAAATAGCTGAGCTTTGAAGACAGATCATTTTGAAATCTATCTCTGCCACTTACCAGCTGTGTGGCTTTGGGCAAATTTCTTCATTTCGCTGTACATCACCAATCTCAACTATAGGCAGGATTCCTTTGGTTACCAGTGACAGAAAATGACCCCATACTCATTAGGCAAAAGGGGAGGAGAAACTCATGAGCTCAAGTGACCAACTTAAGGACAATCGTACAACAGGGTCTCAGGGATAACTAGAAGCAGAACTCACAAATAGCCTGTGTTGTCTCTGCCTTTTTGAGGGGTGGTGGTAAGGGAGGATTTGTATTTCCATTTTTGTTTCTCTCGGCATTTTAGCTTTATTTTCTTGGATTGGTTATTTCATGAATGGCTGAAACATGAAACATGAAACATGAATGACCAACAGCTTCCAGGCTCACATCTAGTTTAGTTAGCAAAACAGGGGAGACTCCTGTTTTGAATCCCAAATTCAAACCTTTCAGGAAGGGCTCTGACTGTCCCGTCTTGGCTCAAGCACCCACCTAGGGCTAATCAACAGGGGTCAGGGGCAGGATGTGTAAGAAGATAGCAGCTTCTATTTAAACCACATGATCACAGAGAACAAAGGAGAGAGAATATTTAGCAGAAGCAAATGGTCTGTTCTGGACAGGCAGACAACCCAAGAGATGTTCTCTACAAATTTTATCTCGTGTGGTTGTTTTGGGGGCCAAAGAAGAAGGCCCACATAGATGAGTACCAAGTACCCACACAATACCTGGGCACAGTACACGGCTCTGCAAATTCTCAATTAAGTGCCCAATTGAATACAAACCAGTTTCCCTAGACCACCAATCCTCTACTCTGTCCACCCTAGATGGTTCACCAATCCCAAAAAACTGTGTGCTGTGTCTTCCTACCCTGTGCAGGGCTGTCTTTCCTAGCCATTCTTATCTTACTCCTATTGGCCTCTTAAACCCCAGGCCAGTGATCCCTTTCTGCAAATCCTTCCTCAGCAGACATACAGCTAGGTACTAACAACCTTCTCTGCACTTCCAGAAGGCTGTCCCTTAGACTCCAGTATAGCACTGACCACATTATATAGTAATTACCTGTTTGCTCATCAGCTTGTTTCCACCTCCCTTTCCAGCAACTGTGGCTTTCCAGTTCTTCATCCGCGTCCAGGAATAAAGCCTGGCATCTAGTGGACCTCAGTAAATACTTGTGAAATGAAACACTGGATGAATCAATGAAGAGGAGGAAGAGTGAAAAGAGGGGAAGGCTAAGGATAGATTTCACTGTTCTCACACAGACCTGTGTGTGTTTTGACATGTGCAGTCACAAAGGGACAAAAGCAAGCACAGAGTCTATGGGATGCTTAGAAACAAAGTTGCCTCCTGTCCCTCCAATCCCGAAATTGGAAAACTGTTTTTTGGGGTTTTGTTTTGGTTTGGTTTTGTGTGTGTGTGTGTGTGTTTGGTTTGTTTGCTTTTGTTTTAACCACTTGAGGCATTATCTTCTTTGCTCATAGGAAAGTAAGCTTTCTGTTGAGATCTGTTTGGTCCTTCCAGCTAACCCATCTGTGGGCTTGGGCTGACCTGGGGCATCCAGGATAAGTCCCCCCCCGCCAACTACACTCCACTTACACACTGGTGGAATCAGCCCAGAGCTCTAAGTATTCCTGGCAGTCAGTTTTGGTTTTTCTATGGGCCAAAGGGATGAGGTCACTATGGCCAGTGAAGTCACCACTGCATGATTCATCCGACATCAGCACCCCACTGGAGTGCTCTGACATTCCCAGAGCTTCTCCCAGAGCATCCAGAACCTGGGGTCCCTGCCATTTTTCAAGGTTCTGGAGCTCATCCTCCAGCTCCCTGGATCCCTAGTAAGTATCTACCACTTTGAGAAGTATTGTAAGAACTAAGAGGAAAGAGTCCTGGACGGGGGGAATCTCTGGGAAGCCTCTCTCCTGCAGCCCCAGGACAGACCTCGTCATCCCTCATAAAGGCCTTCCCCATGTCTCCAGCAACTGCTTCTCCCCTTGTCCCAAAGCTTTTGCCAGGGTCTGTCAGGACACATTCTGAAGGGCTCCAGGGTTCTCAGGGGCGAGACCTGATTCCACCCTTATGGATGAGCTCACATTTATAGATGAGAAAGCTGAGGCCAGGAGAAGAGAAGTGACATGCCCAAGGTAACACGGTTAATGGGTGTCAGAGCTGGGACCCAATGCACTTTCCCTGTTGGGGCTACTCTGGGAGCTCCTTAACCTCTTCTGATAGACCTTCCTTTCAGGACACCAGTCTCTATACACGCTGCCTGAAGAAATGGTCCTCTAGGCAAAGGGGACTAGTCCTCCCGAAAGTGGCAGAGACCGGCCTTGAACCAAGATCTGACTTCAAGGCACTGTACTGCCTTCCTTAACCTGTCATTCCGTACACACAAACTATCTTCCAGATTCACTGCATAACCTAAAGCAGTGGGGCAATGGCAATACCCACACTTTGACCCAAATGGAGGGGTCTCATGAGATGTTCAGTGTGACTCCACAAGGACCTTCCAATAATCTAGGAAGTCTTTCCGGGACAGTAGAAGTCTGATTAGGGTTTGAGAATCAAGGCCTGGGAAGTGAGGCATGGGGACATTCCCCCAAAGTGTGCTCCTTCTTTGACTGCCGGAATTAGCTGGGAGCCTTTGGGATAACCACTTTGCCTCCCTAGGTCTGTCTGCTTACCTACAACCTCGGGGAGAGCTAAGGGAGATGGTCCAGTTGACCTCCACACGGCCTCTCAACATAACATTTTCCAATCTTGTGAATCAATGAAAGAAAGCGATTTCTCCGTGTGAGCAAGGGGTAGGGGGTGTGGTGTCAGTGTGGAGGGTACCCACTCTCCCCTGCCCTCGGCCGGGTGCCTAATGGTCAAGAGGCCAGTGAACAGGACCTGGCCAGATGGTGTTTCCGAGCTTTGCCCAGGCAGGGGTCAGGGGTTGCTCCCTGGATCACCGGCCAAGTCTTAGAGCAAGAGTATCACTCCTCAGGGATCACAAGCTAACACCTTCGAAGGACACTCGAGACTGCAAGGGGACCTCCGAGAATGCTGCCTCCAGAGGGAGCACAGGTACATTTGCCGCATCCGGAGTCCGCAGGGTCTCCCTTTGCTGGCTGGCTGGGGGTTGCTTCAAAGGTTCAAGATGCTGTAACTCCCTTAGTCACCAGTTTCAAAGTAAATGATTCAAGCGCCGTGCAGTGAACACAGCCTGGGGTGGTGGTGGTGGCGTGGGGAACCAAGCAATAAGCCGGGAGTCCCTACTCTACAGCTATGGGACCACCACCACCCTCCCCTACCACCCCGCGCACCTTAAAAAAATTTTTTTTAAAAACCTCTTGGCCTTTCTTCCTTCCCCGAATGCTAGTTCTGTTGTGCTCTTAGAGGCCGATAGTATGGATCCTGCCTTCCGGGTGGAGTTTAAATATATATGTATAATTTTGCATGACTATTGCGTCATCGTTGAAGTCGTCGTGGTTCCCCAAGAGGCCTCCGCGGCTTCTTCCAGTACCGGGGCCTTTGGACGCTTCCGGGCGCTGCGGGCACTTGCGCGAGGAGCCCTCGGCTCCTCCCGAGCGCTTTCCTTTCGGCCCCCTCCCCCAGCCTCACCTTCCCTCCCCGCCACCCCCCCGCCGCAGCTCCGCGGCTCCTCCCCCTGGCCCCCTCCCCAACCCTCGCGGGGAGTCAAGCTAGGGTGAGCGGGCAGGGCCGAGCGGCGGCCTCGGGCGGGGCGCCCGGCGCGGGGCGCGGAGCCGGCGGGCGGGGGCGGGGGCGCGGGGCGGGCGGCCGGCTCTCGCGGAGGCGCCTGGGCCCGCCCTCCTCCGGGGCCCAGCCGGGAGGGGGCCCGGGCGGGCGCGGGGCGGGGAGAGCCGCCTGGCCCCTCCCCTCCGCAGCCCTCCCCAAAGTTGCTGTCTCCCCCGGGGGCCGGCCAGTCTTATGATCCAGCGGATCCTCCTGGGGAGGCCGGGCCGGGGAGAGGGCGCGGGCGCCGAGCGGCGGGGGCAGCGGACGGGCGCGGCGACCGGGGCCCGGGCGGGGATCCGGGCAGCGACCGAGGCGGCGGCAGCGCCCCGGGCCCGCCGCCCCCTCCCCTCGGGCGGGGGGAGCCGCTGCATGGGGCCGGGGGGGCGGCCCTGCTGCGCGGAGCGGCGGCGGCGGCGGCGGCGGACCCCCCAGGCGGGCTGGGGCTGAGCCCGGGGCCGGGGCGGGGGCTCCGGGGGGACCATGCCCGGAGGCCGGCCGGCCGCAGCATGGCTCACGGGCCCGGCGCGCTGATGCTCAAGTGCGTGGTGGTCGGCGACGGGGCGGTGGGCAAGACGTGCCTACTCATGAGCTATGCCAACGACGCCTTCCCGGAGGAGTACGTGCCCACCGTCTTCGACCACTACGCAGGTAAGCCTCGGAACTGCTGACTAAGGGGCCCCTCCCCGGGCCGGGAACTTTGGAGCAACTTTGGCGGAGCCCCCTCGCCGCCTCCCCCGAGCGCGCTCCCCACCCTCTCCGGCGCCTGGCCCTACGCGGGGCTCGCGGCCCCACCCCCAGGCCTCCCCTCCGGCCCTCCTTGTCGCGGGCAGAGGAGACCCGTCTTCCTACCCCGCCCCACCCCCGGCCCAGTCCCGGCTCCCCGTACTTCCCAGCCCTCGGACGCCCTGGGCCGACCTCCTTGACCTTCCCACGGCCTCCTGCCTCCTGCCCCAAATCCCCCGGGGAAACACTTGGGGCACTGGGCGAGACGTGGCCAGGGGACTTGGGAGAAGGGAGTGGGCACGTGGGGCCACATCACACCCCGGCCTCACTGCCACTTAACAGTGAGCTCGGCACAAGGGAAAAGGGGTGACATCTCCCGGGGAGCGCCCGCATGCTTCCGGCTGGGTTGGCATAGCGGGTCCTGATGGGGAGGGAGATTGCCCCAGGCCCTAGATAATCGAGCTTCTCTCCCCGCCCCCACTTCTGCCCTTGCAGTCAGCGTCACCGTAGGGGGCAAGCAGTACCTCCTGGGACTCTATGACACGGCCGGACAGGTGAGTGTCTTGGCCCCTGGCCGACACCCCCTTGCCTTTCCTTAATTCGGGGTGGCTGTAATGGCCTTTGGAAACAGATGTCTAGGAAGGAGGGTGTGTCTTCCAGGGGCCCCTGTGGATCAAGTCTTTATTTCTTTTTTCAAGTCAGCAAATTAGGAAAAGGAAAAAACAAAACCCACACAACCCAACAACAAACCCATCCCAGCCCACCCCATGCGAACCCCTGGGCTATGAAAGTTTTTGCCTGTGTGCTTTCTGTATGGTGCCTGGTGTGTGGGTCCCAACTCCTGTTGCAAAGTGGCAGCGGCCAATCATGAAGCGCCCTTATTTTTAGTTGCAGATGACCAGGTCTCCCCCTCACAGCCTCTGTCTGGTCCCTCATTGGTGAGTGGTCTGCCTGCCCGAGGAGCCTGATTGGTGCGAAATGGCATCATCTAATATGATGGGAAGGCATTTGGTCCTGGTTATGTTTATTACAACATCATTGCACTCTGGGACTCGAGTCCCTGCAAACGTAATTTGTGGTGTTACCAGAGGACCACAGGGAAAAAAAGAAATGAAACAACAATCATCCAGCCACTCCCTGGGGTAGGGAGGAGGAGGAAGGGTTAGGAGTTCAGTATGAGTCTTGGAGGAAGAGCTTCTCCCCCCCCCCCCCCGCCCCCCCAGGAAGGCCAGGTGACTTTGTCTGGGTTTTCTTGGGGAGAGATTATTGTGCAGAAAGAAAATGCACAATCCTCCTGGCAGCCTCTGACCGTTAGCAAATCAGAGGTGGCTCTCCTCTCTGTCTCTGTCCCTCTTCCCAGACCCACTTTTGCTGTGGGGCCGGGATGATTGCGTGTGATGAAGTTTTACAGAATCCAGCCCTGTGATTAGACATGGGCAGAAGTTTCCACGTGGCATGCAGACTTGAGTCCTTGAGGACATGGGAACAGCTGAGGGGCTTAGAGAGTGCTCTGGCAGATGTCCGGTAGTACAGTTTCCTTATCCATGCGATGGGTTTCAGAACATTCCCTGTTCGTATATTATATGCCAGATGCTTAGTACTGAGCCTGGCACACTCGGGTAGGTGCTCAATACAGGGGAGCTATTCTTTGCAGCTTTTCTAGATTTGGATTTCAGAATTGTGGTTCCAGGTTGGATTCTGAGAAATGCCTTATGGAGGGTGTCTTGATGGGGCTTCTGGTTTCTAAACTGTTAAGATAGAGGAGCATCTGAGGATAGAGGAACTGTTGGCAGCGCAAGGTGCCAGAGGCTGTCCCCCTTCACCAAACCGACCCAAGTCACTACAACCAGTCCTTAGCTTGCCAGGGCCCCTTCGGGCTGCCTGCCTCGTAGCTGTTACTTATTCTATCGGAACGTATGGAGGGCAAGAGGCAGAACACAGTCCATTAAGTAAAACCAACTTTTGAGCCGTACAGTTGATAAATAACATTTATCGTTGGTTGAAAAGGAGGCCGGATTTTAAATATCGTCTCTAATTTTAACTGCTCTCACTACCACCTCTTCCCTTTTCTCCTTTAACTTGTCACCATGACCATTCATTTGACCACGAGCCCTATTCAACAGGATGTGTGTGTCAGACCTGTTCTGTGCACCTTCAAACCCAACTAGTATTTACTGAGTTCCTTCTGCGTATCAGGCATGGGGCGGCCACATGCAAATATTCTTCTCTCCACAAAACAACCCCATGAGCTAAGTGGTATTCTAGCTCTGCAGATGGGGAAACTGGGGCTCAGAGAAGGTAGGTAGCTGACCTCAGGTCACACAGCTACTGACAGGTATTGTTGGGATTAGGACATGGGTCTGAATTTGCCCCAGTTTGAGGTGGTTATACACACAGGAAGCCACGGGAGAGGCCGAGATGCCACCTGGGTTGAATGGATTCCTTGTGGGTCTGTAGACATGGTACCTGGAATCTGGACAGCCGTTCTCTGAACGGGGGTTCTATGCTGCCGCTGCAGAGAAGAGAACTCAGATCCAAATCATCCCCTGAAGTTGGACCCACTCACAAAACCAGGGCTTCCCATAAGTCCTCATGATTGCTGTGTCCCGTGGCGATTGTAAGACACATTCCAAATGGGATCAAACTATTAGGAAGGTTCACATATTCCTGTTTTCACCCAGTGGTGGGACACCTACACTGTTGACCAAGATGTGTTTTAAGGCCCCTTGGTGTTTTTCCCAGTGTCTGGAACTTTTCCTTTTAGATAAAAGTTAGTGATAATTCATCTTTCAGCACGTAACGGGTTTATTACTAATAAGCAATCTTAGCAATGTAATCATCAAGGAGATTAAATGAGGAGTGCCCAGTGTATGCCTAGCACGGTGCTAAGCACCTGGGGATTACAAAAGAATAAATTTAAGATAGGGATCTGCCATGGCTGATGATAGCATAGAGAGAAGGATCTGAACCAGATACCTGTTCATGTGTGTTAAATAGGAGATGCCTGCGTTGTTCTTGGTCATTAAGATCTCGTGCCTCTATGAATCAGCATCAGGTTAATCTACGATAACAGTAACGGTCGATAAACCCACAGACATGCATACGCACATGTGTACATATAGAGAGACATTTTGAAGCCTCACGGACAGCAGAGAAAAGCCCACGGGCTTTGGAACCAAAGAGGCCCGAGCTCAGATCTCCAGCTTGCTATCCTAGTCATGTGATCCTGGCTGTACCTAACCTTTGTGATCTAGTAAAAACGTGGATAATTCAAAACTTTGCTGCAGTGTCGTAGACTGGCCTAAACTGTTTAAGGTATGTAAAAGTGGCTGGCACTGTTCTTCGCTCATAGAAGATGGGTATAAATATTACAAGAAATGATAGTACTGCACTCCGGGCAGTTTTGTTGGGGGCAGGGGGTCACGGGCAGAAGAGACTAGTGTATTATGTCTGCAGTTGACAGAAATTCCACGAGATGCCAGATGCTAGAACCTTCTCACCCGGAGGTATAGAGCCAGCTCGTACTTCAGGAGTCCCACAGTCCCCATCACTGGACCCGTGGACGCAGTCCAGTGCTCCCTGCTCTAAATGCCCTGTGGTATCAGATGGTCACCTTTCTCTGTCAGAGCCTGCGTGCCCAGTGACGGGAGAAAAACTTAGAAGAGCTAGGAGTCCAGTGTACACTCAGAGAAACAAGTGGGGTCTGTAGGTTTCAGCTGACTCTACTTTGGGAGGTAAGAAGGGCTAAGGAGGAAGCGCACAGCCCTGGAAAACGTCACTTTCTCTCCATAATCTTGGCTCAGAATGGTCACTCGCTGTATTTGAATAACAGAAATCGTGCCTCCCTTGGGTGGAAACTTCTAGTCTTTGTGCTTGCTCTTGGTATCCTCTTTGACCCCAGTCAAGGTCAAAGCTAGAGGTAACATTAGCCCAATTTACACATTAGGGAACATAAAAGATGACTGTCATAGATGACCTTTGGCCTTCCAGAGGAGGTCGCTTCCCCCTTGGCCTCTGTGGCTGTTGGCACAGAGAGAGAGAGAGAGGATGAATGAATATGAATGTGAGTGTGCTTTAGTCCCCATCATGTGCTCTTCTGGGCACATCCCTCAACATCCCCAACACACTTGGCCGAAGGGAAGCCCCCCTCTCTTGGCCAAGCCCAGGAACGGCCCTGACATTTTGACTGCCCAGCATTTTGGAGTGGAAGTTGGGGGCCGTGGTGGCTTCCTCCTCCCCGGGGCCTGGTGGAGGGGTCTGGCTTCCGGCCTGGGCCTTGGTGGAGCTTCTCCTTTCTTGCCCGCCTCTCAGGACTTCAGTGTGGGTTCCGCAGCAGCCCCATTGCCCACCGGGGAGGGACGGGACAGGCAGTACTTTCCCTCCTGCCTCTGTGCTGTTTGGGGCTCAGGGGAAGTGGGGAGAGCTCTCGCTCTCTGTGCAGATGAGCAGCCTGGCAAGCTGCTCTTGAGCAATGGGCTCCAGGCTGATCTCTTAATCCTTGGCAGGAAGGCAGAACTTGATACCCTAAAGGGGGAAGGACTGGCGCCCAGTTTATCCCAGGTCTCAGAATACCCACTCTCGGGAGGGTGTGTGTTGGGGATGCGTTTGGGTTCCCTAAAGTTCCAGATTTAGCCACTGCCTCAGTGTGTGGAAGTCCTTATGTATGCTTTTGGGTGTGGTGTTGCTGAAAACACATACAGGTTCAAGGATGCATACATGAGAGCTATAAATATCTTTAACTTAGGTGTCCCTGGGGTTGGCTTTTCAGTGACAAGTGAGATCTGTTTCTTACTTGACATAGCCCAGCAGCTGTGGCTGCCCTCCAAGCCCTCTGGGGAACCAGGGAAGTACCTTCCCTCCAGAAAGGAATCTCCAGGGGAGGCAGCCTTGGAATGCCCCACCTTCTGGGTTTCTTGGGGTGGCAGGCACCTAAGGGCCTTGTAGAATGGGAAGGGGCCAGGGGGAGGGCCACGGTTTGCCACTCATCAGGCTCCTCCTCCTTCAGGCAGGCATCCTCCCAGTACCAGTCTACGAAGGTAGACTCTTGCCAGATGAGGAATTTGAGAGTGAGTAGGCTTATGGAAACTAGACAGAGATGTAGTTAGGAAAAAGGTTTTCCTTCCTTTGGAGGGGGCCTGCAGGGCACATCGGTAGGGCTTAGGAAGCCCCCACTCGCATTACGCGGGCTCCAGGGGCCAGCAGCCCCACACTGCATCCCGAAGAGCCCAGAGAGCAGAGTTTGGGAGGAGCCCCAGAGTTCCTCCCCAACACAGCTTCAACAGGTGAGCTGCTGGCCCTAAGCATCCTGGTTTCCCTTAGTAACCTACTGTAGATTTGTCATCTGTGCATTTTCCCTAACCTTTTTAGAAGCTATTTATATCTCCAGCCTGCACCACATTACACAGAATTCTGGTTTCCTCCTCTGCATTGGGAAGGTGGATGGCCTTTGTTGGCTCCAAAGCTTCTGCAGTGACTGAATGTCCTATGCTCCCCTTGTTGTCTCTCTGATGTGGGTTTGGGCTATGTCAGCTCAGACCGTGGTCGTGCAGACAGG